ATTAAAGCTTAGTCTCTAGGTATCGAATAACGATTTACTTATCGTACTTCGTAGTTTCGAGCGCGCAGTAAACCTCCAGTTCGCTAAGGTTAAGCATAGAATTAATACTCAGAAGATTCAGAGGCCAATAAAGTAAGTTCCACTACTTTACCAGCTACTGACTAATCGGATCTTAGTACGGGCGATTTAACTTATAAAGGAGGTCTATATAAGACATCTACTAGAAGGGGAAGAAGGAAAGCTACTAATCCACCCTATCTATAACTGTAATTTAAAGACTACCTATGGATTTCCTTACATTCATATCATTAAGGCGTACGATAATGAGAAGAAGTAACTCGAACCAGATCTGTACCATCAGCATTAGCACTTATATAGTATTAACATAACCCCTCCAATTAACCCATCCCTACTTATATAGGATCCCCTTCGTGTACGTCGTCGAGGACGACCCCGAGGTGCACGTAACTTCGCGAGTACCCAGGCCACCTAGGCCTCCCAGTCTACCCAGTCTTCCGCCGATCCATTAACCTAAACTCAAGCGTAAGAGAGCTCCTCCGTCCACCGAGATCCGTCTTCATGGGAAGCAAGCCGGGGTCAGGTTCGTGGTGCACCTCGGCGCGCGCGCGGTCGGGGTCGGGGGACAGATACTGCTCAGGGTCGGGGTCGCGGTCGCGGTCGCGGTCGCGGTCGGGGACGTGGTCAGATCATGGAGGATACTATTACTGAGGAAACAGTTTAGTGGCGAATAGATACTTTTGTCAGAGTAGAAAGCATTAAATCCATTGAAATGAGCTTTTTTTTCTGATCAAAATGCATGTTTTTTTACTATGTAAACCAGAATTCAAAACTACCAGAAAAAGTCTGGCAGAAAGAATTGATGCCTAAGGAATAAGGCATAAATCAGGCATTTTCAGGCAGAGGGGTGTCAGATTACTGAAAGGGGTGTCAGATTACTGAAAGGGGTGTCAGATTACAGGGAGGGGGTGTCTCTATACCAATCCCCTCTATATAAAGCACCCCTTTTACTAATAACCCCCCCCGTTTCACACGGTCATAAGTTATCTATTATAAGTTCAGATCACTTACTCTCCCTTAGTTATTATATTATCCCTTATATTATATTAACTATATCCTAACCTAGTGCCTATACCGAAGGGCCTTCTTTACTTCCTCCGAGCTCCTAACTAGACCTCTCCTACGTCGCCGATATATTTAATCGTAACCTTAATCTAAACATCGATCCTAGTCTCTTTAACAGCTAACAGACTTCTATATCACTAATAGAGTCTGAGTTTACTTAACCGGCTGTTCTTAATTACTCTCTTAAACGCGTCGGCCCTAATCGGAGAAAGCAGTTTATCCTCTACGACGCGATAAATAACGCGTCTAAAGTAAAGTTTATCGAGTGGTGGCGTACCATAGTACACGGTAGCGGTACTAAGATATAATAAAGGCTACGATAGGATATAAAATATATATTAGATATCTAGGAGAACTTCGACTAGGTAGCATATTATATTATAGGCGAACCTTTAGTTATGTGTCGGACGTGTGGGGCTACATTACCTCATCTAAGTACGAAGTAAAGCGGCACTAACACACCTAAGCGGCATATAGCCTTAAGTAAATGCTAAAAGGGTGGTAAAAGTAAGTCTACATAACAGTCGATTAACGTATTTCACTACCGAGTCGGCCACACCACCGAGTCGGCCACCCAATCTAACTTATGAATTTTAATTGCAATTATTTCAACGAAAACGCCATTAAATTAATTCAACTAACTAATCGGTCTATCTGGACAGGTTTCTCTTCTATGCCCTGGTAACCTGCATATTCCACACCCCCGGGGGGGGGGGGGGGCGCGTACGTGGCCGAATAGCCGATTCTCCCTGTATATTGGCGCTGGGGGGAGGTGGTTTAACTGCTTCCCCCGTCTGTAAAATTAAAGTAGAGGCTTCTTAAACTGAGAGGCCTTCTTCGGAAGGTATATGCCTTCTAGATCGGGTGCGCTTTTACTTCTTCTTCTCATTTTCAGCGCGTAATTCCTTATTTTCTTTCGCCAGTAAGATAGCACCTTACATTATAAGACGGAAGCCCTTCATAAGCTGGTTTAATGCACGATCTAACGGGCTAGGCGGACTTCGAGATCTTATACGAAGTAAAGCTTTAATTAACGAAGCCTATCGACGTAGTTCTTTCTCTGTAGCTAGTGTTTTTAGTATAAAATTCCGACTCGATTCGCTCCCCCGGCTCGGAGGGGGGGTCGGTGTTCGAAGACGAATATTTAGCTTCGAGATCACTCGGTCGGGTGTAAAAGGTACTAAGCTAGCTACTCCGAAGCTATTTTTAATAGTCTCCGATTTAAAGGCTTTAATTCGTGCGAGGGGGTATGCTTCGAGGAAGTTAAGTTTATCGATATGGTTAATCCCATTCCGCATTTTTATCTTAACTAGCCGACCATATGATCGTTTTAACACCGTAAAATAACCGATATTAAGAGGCTATAAAAGATAAGAGGAGTGCGGAGGCATATAGATCGGTATAATATGATTTTTCTCGCATATTTTATCGAACTTTAGGGTTAAATGGCTTCCGTGACCGTCGAGTACTAGAAGTCGATACCTCCCCTTCGTACGTAAAGAAGTCGTCGGAATAAAGAGCCTTTCGAGCCACCGAAGTCTAATTTCATCGGAGGTCTATCCATTCGGACTAACTTTAAACCGCTAGTCATCTAGAAGGCCGTCGAACTAAGATTCGAGGAAGACTTTACCTTTAAAAATCACACACGGAGGGAGGGCCCACCCCGAAGCATTTATACACTTAATAGTAGTCACCCATTCACGATTTCTAGGTTATAAAACTAAGCGCCGACTAGAGAGTTCACTCCTCGTGATCACCTTCGCCGTAGCGATTAACCCTATCGCGAAACTAGTCTCGTCGAAGTTATAAACGTCATCGGGGTCGATTCTAAATTAAAGGATTATTTTTTAAATAAGATCGAACCACTCTCGAATGATTTTTAGGTCTTCGCATTTCGCGCGATCGTAATTATAACGTCTCGAGAACCGGGATAAAAGAAGAGGGTTTCTTTTAACGAACTTTATAACCTAATTTTCGCCGACCGAAAGAACCGGGGTAGTTCCACGCTATTCGAGGAGAAGATTCGCCATTTCTCGTACAGTAGCATGGCGGGGGGCTACTCCACGAGAATCCATAGAGAGAATCCATTTTCGAAGAGATTCCTCCTTAACCTCTGTTAATTTATGCGAATTTACGCGAGAAATCGCGCGGTGTTAAAGACCGCGTAGTCTGTCTTAGAGAGTTAAACGTGGTACGTTAAATCGGCGCGCCACTTCACGAATAGAAGAGATTTCTTTATTCTTAAAAGCCTGAATGGCTAAAAGAATCCTACCCTCTTGCTCTGTTGAATTTCTAGAGGTTTGGGAGCGAATTGGTGGCATAGGGGGTGGTTGAAGATAAAGGGTTAAAATTAATTGACGCGTTTTGGGTGGGGTGGCCGACTCGGTGGTGTGGCCGACTCGGTAGTGTGGCCGACTCGGTAGTGAAATACGTTAAGGAAACCATATAGTATATACTAGTAAGTCTTATATGATTATACTGTAAAGGTTTACGATTTCCAGGTGTAAGACCTGTCAACCGGGTAAGATACAATGACTTGGAGAAGGAAACGAGGATATATTGTCTGTGTGTGCCAAGACTAACTCTTGCCAAAAGAAGAGGGGATTCAGGGGAATCCTGGACTATGTGTGTCCCCATGTTCACGTGGGAGCCATGTGACTATTCCTTGGCAGTTCGTTCCTGATACATGATCGATGCGGGTGCGATCAGGTGATTCCGTCTCCATGTTATAAGGATATTTATCCGTTACATATACCCTTTAAGATAACTAACACGTTATATATTAGGCACTAGAGTTATCTCATAAGTTAAAATTCTCGAATAATAAATGGGAAAGAGAGTAGATTAAATGTCTTACTAGTCTAAACCTCCCTTTCCGGATACTTAAGAGGAAGTAATTTACTTCCTTAATTCGAATGGCATAAAAGGCTCTAGCTAAACCCACTTTACTCTATCCTCGCACTGCTTAACGCTAGCTTAAGAAATTAGTCGATAAGGAGCAGCATATAATTCTCGCTACCTTACCATAAGATACGAAGCTCTTAATCGCCCTCGACTGCTGGACATCGCCTTTTTAGTAGGTATTTATGGCGATCATAGGGTACTTTATCGACTAAGACTAGAATTACCGTGAGCTCCCACTTAGTTTCGAACCACTTAATAGGGCACATTCTGGTGTGAATCTAAGTGAAGTGCTTATAGATGTGAAGGGCTGAAGCTTTATTGATTTAATTAGGCTAGGCCAACATGCTGTTTACATTAATCTTGGAGAAAAGGTAACTATCTACTGGCGATGGGGGCTTATGTATGTTATGGGCACGTGCCTCACGTGATCCAAGCCGGGCTCTGGCCCGTTATAATAGAGATCTTTAAGAAGCTTAATATTACTGATCGTGTGTTAGCGATTATATCGGATAACGCGTCGAATAACACGACTTTAGTATAGGCAGTTTAAGACTCTATTAACTCCTTTAAACTACCGAATAGCCCGGTGGTTATTCGAATCCCTTATCTTATATATATTATCCAGCTAAGCCTTCGCGAGCTACTTAGATCGGTGAAGGCCGATCCCCAGAACGATACTATAGATCGGAATATTTCTAATATCTAAGCCTAAGCCTAAGCTCGATCGCTCCGTGCTTCATAGAGTGAATAAGTCATTATATAAACCCTTATTAAGGTAAGTGTATCACTTTATTTATTACTTAATATATCTAATAAATATCTAGATTCGAGGGCTTACTATGTTTATTAATATAAGCCCCTAACGTCGCGATGATTTCTTCCGTCTCTAGACTAATAGAGTAAAACTTACGCCTATCTAAGATGTCCGCACACGCTAGAATTCTACCTTCTTAATGCTTTATCGTGCGAAACGCCTTAGTAAGCCCTATAATAAATACTATAATAACATTAGGACTCAGAAATATAAACTTAGTAAGGCAGAATGGCGGTAGGTCGACTACCTTCTATATATCACAGAGCCGTTCTACCGCTTTACCATAGTGCTTTTAAAGACTAAAGAGATAACGGTATATCATGTTTTTAGTATTTATAACGCCCTCTTCGAGCACTTCGAGGAATCGATTACACGACTTACTCCGAAAACTATACCTTAGAAGAAGGCGATGCTATAAGCCCTTAATGCTAGGATGGTAAAGCTTACCTCTTACTACATAAAGACGAAAGAGAGCTATAATAGTCTCTACGCGATTAGAATAATTCTTATACCCTAGCATATAGACTGCGGCATCGCCCGTCCATGGGCACCTAGGAGGTGCCCAAGGCCCGTCCACGGTGGGCCTTGGGCTATTTGGATTTTCGAGTGCCCGTCCATAACGCCCAAGGCCCACGGGCATGCCCACGGCGGGCATGCCCACGATGCCCACCATTGCATAAAGTCACCCAAAATGGACGTATAACTCGCTGACTTTGCATAATAAATAACTGTTATTTACACCTGTTTTGCCAACTCCATGTAAAATGGCAGTTTTAATCTACAACATCTATAAATTTTACTGAAATATCTATGTATATGAGAAACTAGTATATATATGATACGAATTGGAGTAAAATTTTAATCGAAATACATCATGTTGTGTGGTATTTTTATTAACTTATCAAATCATACTGTAACAGCTTAAAGATATATATTCAAGTCAGTGGTACATGTCTGGCATTTTCCATAAGTAAAATACTACTTATGGATTCTACTTTATCTCTCACTCTGGTATATTTCTTATAGGTAGATCGAAAGATAATTAGTATAATTCTTATTTTATAAGCTTATATCACTAAATTCTGTCAATTATATCACTCAAAGACTTATGTTATTATTCTGGGAGTTTTAAATCCTTCGATTATAACTCAAGATGGGCGTTTAGGTATGTTCCCATGGGCGTGCCCACGGGCGTGCCCACGGGCATGCCCATGGATAAAGACACTTATAGCCAATCAGCTTATAACATATAGTGGGTCTACACTCAATTTACGATCTATCAGATCTATACAAAGCACCCCTTTTACTAGTGATCCTCGTTTCACACGGTCGCAAGTTACCTATTATAAGTTCAGATCACTCACTCTCCTATAGTCGTTATATTATCCCTTACATCACATTAACCATGTCCTAACCTAGTGCCTATACCGCAGGGCCTTCTTCACTTCCTCCGAGCTCCCAACCAGACCTCTCCTACGTCGCCGATATATTTGATCCCAACCTTGATCTAAATATTAATCCCAGTCTCTTTAACAGCCAACAGACTTCTATCTCACTGATAGAGTCCGAGTTCACTCAACCGGCTATTCTTAATTACTCTCTCAAACGCGTCGGCCCCGATCGGAGAAAGCAGTTTATCCTCTACGACGCGATAAACACCGCGTCTAAAGTAAAGTTTATCGAGTGGTGGCGTACCACAGTACGCGGCAGCAGTACTGAGACACAATAAAGGCTACGATGGGATGCAAAACACATATCAGATATCTGGGAGAACTTCGACTAGGTAGCACATCATATTACAGGCGAACCTTTAGTCATGTGTCGGACGTGTGGGGTTACATTGCCTCATCTAAGTACAAAGCAAAGCGGCACCAATACACTTAAGCGGCATCTAGCCTCAGGTAAATGCTAAAAGGGTGGTAAAAGTAAGTCTACACAACAGTCGATTAAGGAGACTATGCAGCATATACCGGTAAGTCTTATATGATTATACCCTTTAAGATAACTAACATATTATATATTAGGCACTAGAGTTATCTTCTAACTCAAAATTCTCGAATGATGAATGGGAAAGAGAGCAGATTGAATGTCTTACCAGTCTAAACCTCCCTTTCCGGATACTTAAGAGGAAGCAATTTACTTCCTTGATTCGAATGGCATAAAAGGCTCCAGCTAAACCCACTTTACTCTATCCTCGCACTGCTTAACGCCGGCTTAAGAAATTAGTCGACGAGGAGTAACATACAATTCTCGCTACCTTACCACAAGATGCGAAGCTCTTAATCGCCCTCGACTGCTGGATATCGCCTTTTTAGTAGGCATTTATGGTAATCACAGGGTACTTTATCGACCGAGACTGGAATTACCGTGAGCTCCTACTTGGTTTCGAACCACTTGATGGGGCGCATTCTGGTGTGAATCTAAGTGAAGTACTTATGGAGATCTTTAAGAAGCTTGATATTACTGATCGTGTGTTAGCGATTACATCAGATAACGCGTTAAATAACATAACTTTAGTACAGGCAGTTTAAGACTCTATTAACTCCCTTAAACTAACGAATAGCCCGGTGGTTATTCGAATCCCTTATCTTACACATGTTATCCAGCTAAGCCTTCGCGAGCTACTTAGATCGGTGAAGGCCGATCCCCAGAACGATACCATAGATCGGAATGTTTCAGATGTCTAAGCCTAAGCCTAAGCTCGATCGCTCCGTGCTTCACAGAGTGAACAAGTCATTATATAAACCCTTATTAAGGTAAGTGTATCACTTTCTTTATCACTTAATATATCTAATAACTATCTAGATTCGAGGGCTTACTGTGTTCATTAATGCAAGCCCCTAACGTCGCGATGATTTCTTCCGTCTCCAGACTAATAGAGTAAAACTTACGCCTATCTAAGATGTCCGCACCCGCTAGAATTCTACCTTCTTAATGCTTCGTCGTGCGAAACGCCTTAGTAAGCCCTACGATAAATACTATAATAACATTAGGACTCAGAAATATAAACTCAGTAAGGCAGAATGGCGGTAGGTCGACTACCTTCTATATATCACAGAGCCGTTCTATCGCTTTACCACAGTGCTTTTAAAGACTAAAGAGATAACAGTACACCATGTTTTTAGTATTTATAACGCCCTCTTTAAGCACTTCGAGGAATCGATTGCACGACTCACTCCGAAAACCATACCTTAGAAGAAGGCGATGCTATAAGCCCTTAATGCTGGGATGGCAAAGCTTACCTCTTACTACACAAAGACGAAAGAGATCCATGGTAGTCTCTACGCGATTAGAATAATTCTTGCACCCCAGCATAAGCTTCACTTCTTCTTAAGTAAGGCGTGGGGTACATCGGAGAACGACATAAACTAGAGTGATCAGTATAAGGAAACGCTTCGCCAGTTCATAGCTCCTTACGCCCAAAGACACACTCAGACACGGTCCCTACGAGAAGAGCAACCCCCTAAGCGTCACTCAGCCAGTATAAGTGACCTAGACGCCCTCCTTGACCTTCTGCCTTACATCCACTCTAATCCATTAACGTCGGAGCACGAACTTACTAGATACCTTGAAAAGCGTACGTTATATTCACTGTTATTACGAGCAGGAATACTAATACCTATGATAGCAAGGAGAAAGGTCGATCCTTTATAATTCTGGAAGGAATATAAGAATGAATTCCTAATTCTTTCCAGTGTTGCTCGCGACATTCTCTCTATTCCTGTAATAGGCGCTGGAGTTAAACGTCTTTTCAATTCAGCACGGGATGTCTGCCACTACCGACGTGGGCGGCTGAGTGCGAAGACAGTCCAGGATATCATGATGTTCCGGTGTAAAACCCAGTTCGACATTAAAATAGAAGAACTACCCGATGAGGATACGTCCTTGGATTCAATGCAAGAAGCAGACGAACAGAGAGAGGCTGAGCTTACCACTAACATGCCTAAACCAATCAGCGATAGTGAGGATTCCGAGGATAATGATCCTGTTGGACTGATCGAGCATGAGTTTATAATGGAGAGTCAGCTTCCTCGTCCTTCTATAGTGCTAAGTACGCGGAAGCGACAGAGAAGTGAGCTAGTCGACAGCGAAGATGAGAGTAGTCCTCATCTCCCTCATTATGGAGATAAGGGTAGCACTCAAAAGCGCCCTGGTTTAAGAGAAGCAAGGAAGCGTGGCAAACCCAATAATGATCAATTTATATCGTATTAGTGTGAATGTATGAATATAATGAATACCTAAGTCATTATGCAAAGGCTTCTAAGGCTCATTTCTGACCCCGGTCAAAAAAGTGACAATGTATCAAGTTATTGTATAAAGGCTTCTAAAGCTCATTTCTGACCTCGGTCAGAAAATTGACAGTAGTATCAAGTCATTGTACATGTAATCGAATTACTCAAAAATACAGAGAGAAAAAATGCACAAATAATGCAGGTCACGAGGTCAAGAAATTCTGCTTACTAAAAAGGCCCATGGGCGCCCACGGTGTCCATGGACAATGGGCCCTAAGGGTAGGGCCCGTCCATGGGCGTATGGATAGTGCCCATCGCCCGCTTACATAAGGCCCGTGGGCACTGCCCACCCGCCCGTCCATGGGCGATGTCGCAGTCTACTAGCATAAGCTTCACTTCTTCTTAAGTAAGGCGTGGGGTAGGGTACGTCGGAGAACGACATAAACCGGAGTGATTAGTATAAGGAAACGCTTCGCTAGTTTATAGCTCCTTACGCTTAAAGACACACTTAGATATAGTCCCTACGAGAAGAGTAACCCCCTAAGCGTCACTTAGCTAGTATAAGTGACCTAGACGCCCTCCTTAACCTCCTACCTCACATCTACTTTAATTTATTAATATTAGAGCATAAACTTACTAGATACCTTAAAAAGCGTACGTTATATTCACTATTAGACTGCGACATCGCCCGTCCATGGGCACTAGGAAGTGTCCACGGCCCGTGGGCCTTTTGAAATCTAACGCCCATCGCCCACCATTATGCAAAATTAATGCAGGAATTGCCCTATTAGGCTATTTTATGTACATAACTAGTTCTTGGCAATATCCACTTTGCCAAGAGTGCCCGCATATGTCTTGGCGACGCTAAAAATGTCTCCACTTTAATGGGCATTGTCGCAGTCTAGTCTAGGATATCATGATATTCCGGTATAAAACCTAGTTCGACATTAAAATAGAAGAACTACCTAATAAGGATACGTCCTTAGATTCTATATAAGAAGTAGACGAATAGAGAGAGGCTGAGCTTACCACTAATATGCCTAAACTAATCAGCGATAGTGAGGATTCTAAGGATAATGATCCTATTAGACTAATCGAGCACGAGTTTATAATGGAGAGTTAGCTTCCTCGTCCTTCTATAGTGCTAAGTACGCGGAAGCGACAGAGAAGTGAGCTAGTCGATAGCGAAGATAAGAGTAGTCCTTATCTCCCTCATTATGGAGATAAGGGTGGCACTTAAAGGCGCCCTAGTTTAAGAGAAGTAAGGAAGCGTGGTAAACCTAATGATGATCAATTTATATCGTATTAGTGTGAATGTATGACTATAATAAATGCCTAAGTCATTATATAAAGGCTTCTAAAGCTCATTTCTGACCCCGGTTAAAAAAGTGGTAGTGTGTTAAGTTATTGTATAAAGGCTTTCAAAGCTCATTTCTGACCTCGGTCAGAAAATTGATAGTAGTATCATGTCATTATACATATAATTAAATTACTTAAAATACAGAGAAAAAAATGCACAAATAATGCAGGTCACGAGGTCAAGAAATTCTGCTTACTAAAAAGGCCCACGGGCGTCCACGACGCCCAAGGCCCGTGGGCCCTAAGGGTAGGGCCCGTCCATGGGCCTCTCCATAGGGCCCATTTCCCGCTTACATAAGGCCCGTGGGCAATGCCCACCCGCCCGTCCATGGGCGATGTCGCAGTCTAAATGAAATCGTGGGCTTTCGTGGGGGCCTAAATTCTAATGGGGGTCCACGATAGGCCGGGCCCCCGGGTGTTAGGCTTTGGGTCCAAAGGTTCGACCCTCGGCCCATTGTGGGTTGGGCTTTGCGGAAGCCTACCTTAAATCAAATTAATAGTAGTATTATCAGTATAATAAGTAGGATGATCAAGATGTATAGGCGGTCAAAGGTGCAAGAAGGCCGGTGGATCTGTCAATGGTGATTATGAAAGAACATTACAAATATGTAACGACGTTGACAGTGATATGTGTTACTGTGTGAAAAAATCTGAAGACTACTGTACTGCGTACAACAGTACGGATCTCCAGCAATTCGACCAGGAGTGCATAAGTCAATCTGGCTGGACTACGTTCAATTGCTAGCCTACTAGTGTTTGATCGGTATACGAAATGATATTAAAACGAACGGAGAAAAACGGAGAAACTTATATGAAAATTAATGAGATATGTGCTATTGACCAGCGTGTTTTGAGCGGTATCTGAACTATGAAACCAACATGTTCGATAGCAGAGCGGAGGTTGGGGCTTTCTGTCGTTGTATAGAGTTTTTTCCCACTGGGTTTTTACCTCGGCCGACAGTTAGCTAATAAAAGCTGATTCTACAAAATTACTTACACACGGCTTTCATTGAAAGGACGAGAAATTAGTGATACGGAATGGTAGAAGGCACACTAATACCACGTGACCGTGTCGAATGCCCGATAAAATTATGTGAACTTCCTCATTATCGTCCCTTGAGGATCCTAGGGCCTAGTTTATACACCGCTGCAGTAACAATTGGAGGTCATGATTGTTTTTATGATCATATGTAACCCATCAGTAGTAGCGGCCTGATTTCTACGTGGGGTTATAAGTCTGGCACGATCTAGACCTCGTCATGGTGAATAACCACGCATATACAGTATGGGCTGGAGAATTTGAATATACCTAACTCTTATGCCATGTCGTCACGTCATATGACAGACTGTGATATAAAGAAGACCAGGAGTCCGCCACACGATAAGGAATTCCGGACAGAGCATATCACAGTGAGGTTATTGTACTATCTTATCTACCATTGAAATAAGGGAGTTTCCGCCATTTAGGGTTCATTATGGAATCCCATAATGAACTGTAAAGTATTAAGATAGTAATCACGCAAAATATACGATTTTTCTTAATCAAAATGTATGTTTTTCTACTATGTAAAATAGACTTGAAAGGGTGGGGGCAGAATATACATACGGCAGAAGAAATATGGCGTGGCGGAAATGTTAGCAGAACTTTTATCAGGAAAACGGGACTTGAACTTTCAGGCAAAAATTAGGTTTAGCTCGAAACAGGACACCTTGTGTACTTATATAATCTACAGAATTCGAAGCCGGATCCTATAAATACGCTTCTTCCTCCTAATCCCTCCCCTCCTCGCTTCTGTGGCTGAATTAACTGTTTTCTTTCAAGTTTACAAAAAAGGTGGGGTCGATTCCCACAAAGTTGACTGTATTCAAATGGCTCCAAGAGGGAATGAATGCCTTGTCCCTGGCTCCATAGAAGGAATGTCTGGCTGCTAATGCAAATCACAAGAGCGGCTCTTGGGATTGCAGGTGTATCATGACATCACTTTCATGGAAATAGTCTAGGCGCCTAGCGCAGGCAGCCATTCTATGACTCAAGGTTCCGATGAGTCAGACCCAAGTCACCCCAAGTATTATTGGTCAATGCGAGTTGATTATACCAAAAATAGTTTGTAACAGAAAAGCAAAATCAAAGAGAGAGAGAGCAAATCAAAGATAAGGATCTACACCAATAGATCACATGGGACAGGGGTCAGTGCCATAAGATGATTGGTTCGCCCCTCCTGCGGCTGATCTTATTAGGTGTCTGTCACACGAGGAAAGGTTACAACGTGAAATTTACAAATTTATACCTGATATCGGGTCTACATAAATAGTACATATATTAGTAGGTACATGTATAAATTAAATGTTTAGAAAAATATTTCAAAATACTCCCCAAAATACTGATACTTTTTTTTTTTTCCAATTATACCGGAGTAAGTAACCTTGGAAACCCTTTGGGAACCAAATGATGAGATCAGCTGGTTTCCAACGCCCAAACATATCCCCCCCCCCTTCCCCTCCCCCTCAGATCCCCTTTTGCGCTCTGATGTCCCAACTAACCCTTTTACAGTCAGGTAGTCTGGTCTCATGAGCCTGGAGAAACTCGGAATCTCCCATAAGCGCCACCCCGCAGTTTATCACATACTGACTCACAGTTCTTTTCTTTCTCTTTCTCTCCCCCCCTCTCTCTCTCACCCTTTCAATTTCCATGGACCATTATCCTCTTAATCAAATTGACTCATTCGGCCATTGGAGCCTTAACGCCGAGACTTAGGTATTGGCTTATCGCCACTCAAGACAAAGAGGACCTGACAAATCACCCCAGGTGATTCAACTTCCATTGAGTTCCATAAACACTCGCTCAGCTTTCGCCATCCATCTTCCCACTCTGCCTGGTGTATTCATCCCCCCTCTCTTTTCGGAAACTTTAGCCCTGGACACCATTGACACCATTGACTACTTTTAACCTCTTATTGCCAATCACCGGCTCAAACGGTATTTAACCTGGAATGACTTCATCTGCTGGTTGGCAGCCAGCCAAACAGCCGAGCACTATGCATCGTCTCCCATCCGTTTCTAGCCTTATGTCGCCCCCAGAGACCAAACCTCTCGAGAGCTTTTCTGTCTCACTTTCACCTTTTACAAAGCCTCGAGATTCCTCAGCTCGTGACATACAGCTTCCACCCATCTCAGCTGATCGAAAACGGACACAGTCAGAGATGGATCTCCCATCACCACCCGTGACTCCCTATACGGGGAACAAGAAGAGCAATGCCCACGCCTCGGACCAAATTGAAAGGGATTTGGGATCCCCCAGGGACCCCGTCCTTTTCCCCCCCAGGATTCCGTTACTGACGTTGCTACGGATGAGCCGCTGTTCGGCCCCGTTCACCCTCCATCTGCAGAGGCACTTGTGGAAGAGCACATGAATTCTCATATGGCAATGTTTCGCAATAAGTTGAACAAACCCACACGAGATGAATATCTCTTGGCACTCTCCTGTGTTCCTATCGTTTCGACCCAGTACAATCGCAACCCGGCTGCTTGGGCTCGAGAGGAACGGGAGACGCTGGAGCGCCAGATGGTCATGATGAACCGCTATCGCCCAGGAGATTACGAACCCAAGTTGAAGAAGATTGCTCCCGCTCCCGCGAAAAGATTGGGCACACAGCCGCGCGTGCAGCGAACCCGGGTCAAACGCACCCCTAAATCCACCCCCAAGCAACAGGTGTTTGACAACTTTGATCCCCCCCAAACCCCACTTACCAAACCGCGTGTCTTGGGTACGAATCGTGATGACACCGATTATCACGCACTCAAGGACTACTCGCCCCCGGCAGAAACCCTAGGCAGTAATGCTAAAGCATTGAAGGCCGATTGGAAGGGGCAGATGTTGGATTTGAGCAATGACCCGGACAGAAATCTTCTCAGTCCCGCCGAGCTCAATCTTGCCTCCACTCTGAGACTTTCATGTGCGACCTATCTATGCAGCAAGCGTCGAATTTTTGAAGCTCGGGTCCGAGCTCTTGGTGTTGGCAAAGAGTTCCGCAAGACGGATGCTCAACAGGCTTGCAAGATTGATGTCAATAAAGCCAGCAAACTTTGGACCGCTTACGAACGTGTGGGTTGGTTTAAAGCTGAATATTTCCATCAATACCTAGCATGATATCGCAGGCTACGTGTTTGATGGTACTCGTGGACAACGATACCACCAATTCACAGTTGTGTGTTGCTTCCATTACAGGCTGAGCCATTAAAGGCACCGTTTCCAATGACTGACCCCCCCCCCCCCCCCCCCCCCTGCACCCCAATGTCTACCACTGTGCAATACAGCCCTCGATTATTAATTCCCATTTGAGTGCTCTCAGCTCTCTGCATCAAGACAAATGTATGGGTGTGTTCCCGCGAACCCATATTACTTCTTGGCTTTTCGGTTTCTTTTTTCCAGTTGTTATTTCGCTTTTTACGACTCCTTATGACACATTCTTTTCTTTTTGAGATTCCCCCCTTGGCTTTTGATTTTTTTATTTTTTTTTATTTTTTTATTTTTTTATTTTTTGATACTTTTTGCATACAGACAGATCCCATGGGCATTTGATTCTTTCCAACTTTGGTTATGGCGTTTGGGTGCTTCACTTCAGTTTCGCTTTGGTCTAGAATGGCAGGCTTGGTTAGCCACTGGTGTTTTCTCTATTGCGATTGAATTTTATTGCTTGATCGTTCTTTTCAGAATAGCACATAGGATAAGGCTTGATACCCTGACCAGATATGGATTCCCTACACAATGAAACATGAAATTGATAAAAATACATTAAAGATCACAATATAAACCAATATAAACCAAATAAATAAAATATTCAATTGATATATTGATATATTCAAAGTATTGTTTCTAATTTAAACACCAAAGATAAAGCGGTGGGGCGCAATCGTAATCATCCGGCAGCCCGGCGCCACCTTTTTTTGACGTATCCCCCCCTTCTTGTATCATCTTTCCCTTCACTCCAAATATTGACCATCAAATTTCCTATTTGAAATCATCTTGGTCAGCCATGTCTCAGGAGGTGACTCGTGCCGAGTCCATCGAGGAACAGGAGCGTGCAAGGGATGGCGACAAGAAGCCAAAGTCTCGTCGACCAGCCAGTAGGTCTCGCGATCTCATCAACCCTTTGTCACCAACTAACTTGTTACCAGATACTGCTTTCCGCCAGCAAAGATTGAAAGCGTGGCAGTGAGCTTGATATTCCTGTACTGCCCCTGGACCGTGCTAACCTTCCAGACCAATCTTAACCCCTAAAAGCGTTCTACCTCTGTTTTTCATCGTGGGCGTTATCTTTGCGCCAATTGGCGGTGTTCTCCTCTGGGCAAGCTCTCTAGTATGCCTAATTTCATACCTTTATCCTGACAGAACATCTCTGACGAGCTGTGTGATCTAGGTCCAAGAAATTTCCATCGATTACTCCGACTGCGCCGAACAGGCACCGACCGAGCACTATGGTTCCGTTCCTCATTATTCGGCGACTTTCAAATCTTCCGAGTCCATATCGACACCCCTCTGGCGCAAGTCCGTCAATGAGTCTGGACCCACTATTTGTACTCTTGTTTTCGAGGTTCCGAACGAGCTTCCAGCACCGGTTTTCATGTACTATCGCCTCACCAACTTTTATCAAAACCACCGCCGATATGTTCAGTCGCTCGATTTGAATCAGCTGAAAGGAGACGCTGTCTCCTACCATACGATCAAGGGTGGCACGTGTGACCCATTAGCGGTCAATACCACGGCTGAGAAGGTATACTATCCATGTGGACTGATTGCCAACTCATTCTTCAACGACACCATTGGGATGCCCCAATTCCGAGATCCGATTGCATCCGGGAACGAAAAAGGTGGAAAGCAATTCTACGAGATGACCGATAAAGGCATTGCGTGGGACAGTGACAAGGAACTCATCAAGAAGACAAAGTATAAGTTGGAGGAAATGCAGCCACCCCCAAATTGGGTCTGGGCGACCGAGAACGGCGCCTATAAAGAGTTTCCCAATTTACATGAAAATGAAGCTTTCATGGTTTGGATGAGAACGGCTGGTTTGCCATCGTTCAGCAAGCTTTCCCGCCGTAACGATACCCATGGCATGCCTGCTGCAACATATACCATTGATATTGTTGATCGTATGTGTTTACTACCACCTCTTGTCTGCACTTACTAATCTTTTAGGCTTCAATGTCACTGAATATGATGGAACCAAGTCGATCTTGATCTCTACTCGAACAGTGCTTGGAGGCAAGAATCCCTTCATGGGAATCGCCTATGTAGTTGTTGGTGGAATCTGCGTCGTTCTCGGGGCTCTGTTTACTGTCGCACACTTGGTGCGTCCGAGGTATGATCTATGATATCCTTTGAATATAGCTCTAAACATGGCTAACCTCTTTACCAGAAAACTTGGTGACCACACCTATCTTACTTGGGATTCAAATCAACCGACCACTGCTATCGCTACGGGACGGGATAATGCCCCCTAAGATACCTTTTTTTTGGCGTTTTCTGTTTCAATATGCCCTGTAAATAATTGTGTTCAATGACCTCATCCTCGAATCTTTGACATACCAATCGTTTTATCTTCTCCGATCCTTTTTAACATGCTACCCCTTGCTCAAGACATTCCCGCATGACGCAACATTCTTTATGGAATTTGACAGGTTATATGATACCCCATACTGGTCAATCTCGAGACCGATGGTTCTTTTCTTGACTCTAAGTCCACTCCTTTTGTTTTGTTTTTCTCTCTTTTGAAACAGGTGTGAAGGGGAACCGAAACCAGGGCTTCTTAACACCATGGTCCGCCACTCATTTTTCCAACTCGTGGTTCTTGTCACCCTTTTTCTGCAGGGTCGGTGCAGCCCCTTTGCCCTTCAGAAAAGAGGCGCCTGTGCTACTGAAGACCCCAGTGCAGGTTTCTTGCATGAAGTAGGCCGTCTCAAGTCGGATGAAGCCAACCCTGCTGGTTCACAGGCCCGGCAGGCTCCGATCGAGATCGAGACCTGGTTCCATATCATCAGCAGCAAGTCAGAGTCCACTGAAGTCACCGAAGACATGATTAATTCTCAAGTCAGTTGCTTCTTTTTCGACGCGCATCTTAGTGCTAATTCATTTTACCTACAGTTCTCCATTCTACAACGATCCTATGCTGACTCTGGCATCTCCTATCGATTACAAGGTGTGACTCGTCATACCAATGATACGTGGGCGAGTAATTCGGATGATATGGCAATGAAAAGGACCCTTCGCAAAGGGAGCTACCGAACATTGAACGTTTACTTCCAAACCAATCTCCAGGCCTCTCCTGGACAAGCAGGACGCGCTTTCGGGCACAGGGGTGCAGTCACCAACACTGACCTGGCATCAAGCGTTCTTGGGTTCTGCACCTTGCCTGATCCTAGTGTCAATGCCAGTAGCCCATCTTCTCACTATGTCAAGGATGGCTGCAATATTTTGGCCAAAACAATGCCCGGTGGCTCCTTGGATCTCTACAATCGAGGTGGAACTGCCATTCACGAGATTGGACACTGGAATGGCCTTTTGCACACATTCCAAGGGGGATCTTGCTCAACAGATAACCCTGGGGACTACATAAGTGACACGCCACAGCAGTCCACCCCGACAGATGGATGTCCAGCACAGAAAGATTCGTGTCCGGAGTCCCCTGGACTGGACGCAGTCCATGACTTCATGGATTATTCATCTGATGTATGTTATGAGCGCTTCACGCCCGGACAAGGGGAGCGCATGCGGAGCATGTGGATATCCATGCGCGAAGGGAAATAGCGCGGAAAGAGATTGACAACAAGTTCAATGCGAGCTCTGTATGAAGTCCATTCGGAGCCACATGTACATACAGGAGAGGGTCAGAAGTAAATCAGCCATGTTAACCTAGTTGATTACTACGATGTAGAGTGATGCTACCATCTAAAGACCCTTTGAACGAATATCATGTGTGAATATTTGGATAGAGTACATTTAAGAGACGTTAAAGAGACTATTCCCCCCCCACCCCGGATTAAAATGTGTCTTGTGCTGATTCCCAACTCACCGTGGCTCCGAGTCAAATTGTACAAGCATTTGAAAGGCCAATCAAGAGATGCAAGGCCTAGCCCAACTTGTCCATAGATTGGAACACAAATTGCAACGAGGCAAGAAAAAAAAGGTCGTTCGATGTCCAAGCGGGAACAGAATGTTGATTAGCGCTTGCGTTTGATCCCGCGATCGTTGTCTTCATGACCAGTCTCCTTGTCTTTACGTTTCGCCTTTTCCTCCAGTTCGTCCCAGTCCTCACCACTCTCCTCGTCGCCGCTGAAGTCTTCCTCGCTGGCATCGGCACTCGCGTCATCATCGAATTCACTATCTTCCTCGGAACTCTCATCTCCAGCTGCAAGCTCCGAATCGGACAACTCGAAAGCCGACTCCTCTTCCTCATCTGAACCATTTTCGGAATCTGACTCGGCGGATAGGAAAGACCACCCGCCATCGGCAAAGAAGCCGTATGGATCGCTGACAACTGTTTTCATGATAGTGGTCCAATTTAGGTTGAGCGGACCTTCGGTGAACGCAATATCAACAGAATCAAGCCAGTCCTTAACGCCCTCAAGTGCTTCAACAGGAATCGTGTTGATATGAACAGGAGTCCGGCGGAAATCCTTGAAAACGAAGACCATGTCGAAGTTTTTGAGTCCAAACTGCGCACGAATTAGTAAACTAGACTCACAAAATAGTAGCAAGTGAAAACATTACCTGAACTCTCTCCAAATGGGCAATCTCAATTTCGTTCAACGTGACGGTCGTGAAAGGAGGTTCAGTGAGCTGAACTAGGGCATCTGTGGTCGGTTGAATCAAGACATTGGACCGGTTTGGAACACCGGTAAACCCAATTTCTCTGAATGGGATATCGACATCGACACCCTCGTCCTTGCCAGCGTCCGCAATCTTCTCGGCAAAGGCCTTGAACTCACGGTCCAATGCAGCCCTTCGCCGCCTTTCCTCTTGTTCAGCCTCAAATTCTTCCTCGTCTCCGTAGCGGTGTTTGCGTCGACGGTTTCCAGTTTCATCAAATTGCATTTCGGTAGCCTCACGATAGAATTGGATATCCTTTGTCTTTCGTTTTCCAATCATGATGGGCGTCTTGAGATGCACATGGATCAGAACGATCAATTCGTGGGCACACGGTTGGAAGAACAGATGCTTCACGTTGCTGAAGAGCACATCAACATGCTCATTGCGGAAGGGCGAGAGGTACCGAAGACCATTCTGATGAATCTCGACTTCTCCCGGAACACGCTTTCCATCCAAAGGAGGTCGGAGGTAGACGTCAGGGAGTTTCACTGGACGTCGGTTTCTAATTTCAACCAGTTTATCTTGCTCAACAACATCTTCCAATTCCTTTTTCTCTTGCTCTCGTCTCAAGGCTGTCTTACGAAGTTCAGTGATATCTTGGGCAACTCGTGCAAGTCGGTCGTTATCCTTGGACCGGAGGGTGAGGTTGCGAACGAAATGAGCTGACAAATCCTCAAAGGGCTGGTCATCCTTTCGGCCCACACCTTGACCTGGAGACAGGAAGTTGATTCGTAGGTAGGCGTATTCTCCTTCGTCGCTTTTGCTGGCGTTCTTTATGGTGTTGATATGGAAGGGAACCGGTCGACCCATGATAGGCACAATCACGGTGGAAGTCTTGAGGTCAACGTAAACTGTAAGGTCTTTGACCTTAGCGGGGAGTTGGTTATCTCGCTTGTAAGACTCAAAGCGCTTGAATTTCTTCTGTGCCACCCCATTGTCGTCTCCAGTAGTACCGGTGAACCGCTCCAAGCCTTCCTTTGTCTTCTTCGCAGCCAGTTCTTTCTGATGCTCTCGGCGACGGGCTTCAGCTCCCTCATTGACCTGAGTTGGTCTTTCAGCACGAAGTTTGGTTCTTGTGACGTTTCTGCCAGCAGCCGCGCTAGACTTTGCCTCCTTTTTCTGCTTCACAGGCTTCTCGGGCTCTTCCTCATCTCCGAAATAGAATGAGATCGAATCCATGTCAATACCAGCGTCTTTGGTAAAAATGTGAGGTCCATTTTCCCCGACACGAACTGTATCGGTGATGACCATAGAATAGCCACCATTCTTGGCATTCTTCGAGTCTGGATCTTTCACATCGGTCAACCCGATCGTGATAGACAGTGTCATGCCATTTTTCAAGACGCGGTTGTTCTTGGCATTGAGGACCATATTGGCATCTCGGAGCTCGATTCCAATCCCTGCGCCAACGTTCTTGACAAAGTGTCCCTCCAGCTCAGGCTTCTTGGACCGAACGAGGCTTAGTGCCTTGTTGTAAACGTCCTTGGCGACCACACCATCGCGAACCTCTTTCATGGTTGCTTCATGGAGGCTCAGCAATAGGGCATAGTTTGCTTCTTGTGATTTGGTTGGGTCAACCAAATAAGTACGGCCAATGAGAGAGCTGTAAGTCTTGTATCTGATTCCAAAGCTGGACAGAATGATGCCGGGTTCAAGGTTTTTACTGTCGGGAGTCGCTGTGAGTTTGAGATCGTAGGCGCCTCCACTTTGAATTACAGGCCCGTAGGCCCAGTCGATTTGCTGAGAATCGAATTCCGAGGGTAACCGCGCCAGCTTATTGAAAAACTTCCCATCGTCAATCTTTGCATCAACTTTTGCAGCGAGGGCCTTGTGCGTCATCTTTTTTTCTTCATCGAGCAAACGTGACATCTCATCGACGAAGTATTCTGACATAAGGCCACTGCAAGCTCTGGAAGCATTGCGGATTGAGACCTACGAGGCAATATCAGCAAACACCACTTGTTAAATACGCTGTCATAGATAAACCAACCAATTCATCGGAATCCTTGATTGCAAAAGCCGCCGAGAGTGCAGGTGCTATATCGACTTCCTCCACTTCTTTCGATATTTCCGCAAATGCGCGTTTCCATTCATCTGCGAAGGGCCCCGAAGCTGTGTTCTTGGGCAAGGTGCCAACTTTGTTCTGCGGTTACGGTAGTTAGTGGAAGGTAAATCAAACCGGTGATTCAAATGGCATTTTAGCTTACCCCTGCGCCCTTGATAACGTCCAAGCATTTCTCAAACGCTTTGGTCTTTGATTCTGGATCTTTGCTAGTGACCAGAATCTCGACGGGAATCTTTCCTTCTTTCAGTGGCTCGAGGTGTTTCGCTTTGATTTGATTTAATCAGCTATGCAGAGCGCAAAATTCCGTTCGTTGACACTCACCTTTCTTGGCCGTAGTGACCACGTAAATCGCTTCAGTTGTGAGAACAAACAGTGTCGCTGGGAATTCATAGCCGAGAAGCCAGAACTAAGAACAGGTTCAATTAGTAACGACGTCATGAAGCTCATCGGCCTCTATGGGAGAAGGATAGGACGTTGAAAGATGATCCACATACATGCATCGCGTTGTTCTTCTGGAATGAGTTCTCCTCGTCGGTCTTGCCCATCAGAATGACCATGGAGCCGACATTGCCAAAGAGGGCATTGCCCGACCGCTTGTCCGCCTTCCATGACGCATAGAAACCAGACAGGCGATTGAAAAAGTTGCTCTTGTCAATTGAAATCTCTTCAGCCATAGTGGTGGCCTGATGCGAGCAAGGTATGCCGCAGTCAGAGACTAGGTTGATGGCAAGAGAGCTCGGTGCAGGAGCACAGGAGCTATTGCAGGTCTATCCGGTGTTAAATTTGTTGAGGATGAAGAAGAAAGTAGATGGGAAATGAAGGTAGCATCAACGCGACAGCTGCAATGATGAGAGACAAGGCACCGATAGAGCTGAGGTCGTGGCAAAAAAGACAAAGATAGAAAGGGACGGCTTAGGGGAAAGCGAACGCGAAAAGCGCGTTCTTACACTTTAGGTCACTATGGATTACCGTATCAAAGTATTACCACTTTCGTATTAGCGCGCTATTCTTCATCTCTCTCTCTTCTTATTGAATCCGAACGTGTCTGGTTAGTATCTCTTCTTATTCACTTCCTTTCTATTTTCAAATTTCAGGTCAACATGGCATATGTGATCCATCACTTGGTCGTTTGATTGGATAACAATCACACCCTATGATGCTGCCCTCTTTTTTCCACCTATATCGCCTGCCCTTTAAAATTCACTCTCGACATTGAACAAGTCTCTCTTTGAGACCCCACAAGCACCCTTTCCCTACGATGTACACTGGGGCTTTTTAGTTGTCTGTAAACAATGAAGTCTCCGATAGCTCCCATTCTTCTCGAGCCCCATCTCGGCGAACTTCCAGGAAGTTCACGAAGGGTTTCTCGCAACGATGCGGCTACCGGAGCATCTGCCGCAGGCGTTCGTGCTCTCAGTGCACAGATGGTGGCCTTCTATTTTAGGGCCCCGATCAAAGCTTTCTTTCGTATGCGTGTCGAGTATGTAGTATCTGTGGACCTAATGATCTTTGTATTGACAATATTTTACCTAGTTACATGGTACATCCTCCCCATCATCTACAATAGATGAGAAATACAATCAACCCATCACCAGACTCAGTTACTGATAATTTGAAACAGGCATTTGCAAGAGCTGTGAACCCCCGTGTCGCTGAAGGCAAATGGTCTCTGCATACAACAACCCCGGGATTATTGCTCCACGCCGTTCAGACATATGGCTGGCGGTTCATCCCGAATCAAGTGCTCCCACCCTTGATGGCAAATGCAGGGTGAGATCTTCCCAAGGATATAGCTCCAGATGATTTGAAAATGCTAATAATATATACCAGAGTTGGTGCTGTTCTCTACACGTCCTATCTCCAGGTTTTAGGGGCCCTACATGAACCTGTGTCCCAAGGGGTCAAGCGAGTCTGGCCTCCGGCTCCTCCTTCTGCAACATTCGCAGCTGGATTCACTGCCGGCACAATCCAGTCGATTGTAGCCGCACCTCTGGACGCGTTACAGGTTCGCTTCCAAACCAGTGACATGCTGGAGGGTCAGTACCGGAGTATGTGGCATTATGGTCACCATAAGCTCAAACAGATTGGTCTTCGAGGGGTCTTTGCAGGCTGGAGCCTGTCTTTTATGCGTGATTCACTCGGCTATGCTGTGTTCTTCTCCTCGTTCGAATACATCAAGTCACAGTCCTACTATTCCTTCGTCACTTGGTACTATGGCTCCCTGCAAGTTGATCATGTGGACAAGCTTTCATCGTCCGAGTCTAGCGATCGCGGGGTACCACTCATCAAGCCCCACTACGCTTTGGAGCCATGTTTCCTGATGATGGCTGGTGTTATGGCATCGATCGCCCAGCAAACTATTCAGCATCCTCTGAGTAGGATTCAAGACCTCCATTTGGGTCGATTGGAATATCTGGATCACCAGGCCAGTTTGATACCCTCGCGACAGAAGATGATCCAATTATACTACCACGCCTATCAAGAGACCTTTAAGAGGTGCAAGCGGAAGGCTGTGCGAGCTGGGGGTTGGCGCTCCTGGTTGTTCCGTGGGTTTATTGGGAGCTCTCTTCGCCAAGTACCTAGTACTAGTGCCGGCCTGATCATTTTTGAATTGGTGCGCCGACGGTACGCAAATCCCGCAGACGCTGTCCATATCCAGAGTGATGGATATGATATCCTTCTCACTTAAGAGTTTACACAGAGTTTCATATCCCCTCTCTGGTCCAATCTTTTTTTGTTTTCTCTTTGTTCCTTCTGGGGATGGCGTTAGGGCATAGAATATTGTTTCATATAGAGTACATACACAAGCGATACCCGACTTTCAATCAAGTACTTCAGCACCTAGATACCTGGCAAGAGAAATTTGAAATAAGTATAAAATATAGAGGGAGTCAGATATAAATGGTTATTTTAGGCTAGAGGTGATAGCTTTACATTTTGGAAATTTTATGAGATATATTCATATATAATAGTATATATAGTACTCCCGGCATACATATGTAGTAACTTATTTGTCGATCCTTAAGACGTATTAGTATACCGTATGCGTACAAATACTTGGCATTACATATCTCTCCTATTATCATTTGAACGTCCTTTCTCTTTCTTCTATTCGACTCAATTTACTACTTTACCTAGTTTCTTGGAAAACAGATCAAAATCTGAATTCCTATATTTGACTTTCTTTTGACTGTGTAATACTTGGCTCAGGACCATTTTTGCCCAAACGCATCCCCCCCAAATATTCCGCCTGACACCCCCATCTTGACATTCTGCGCGTGTGACTTTTACCGTAGCTAGTCGCCTGCGACCACATCGCCTGAGTGGCGCTAGTGCAGATTAATCCACTTTCAAGGTTATGCCCACCGCTGACTCCTTTGTGGAGAAGAACCTCTCTTATCGATATCATTAATTCCCCATCTCCGCATTCTTTCCGGGGCTGCGAGGTTCAGCCCAATACCGCCATCATTTCTCCGACTTCTTCCACACGCGCCTCTAACATACCTCTCCGGTCTATACTCTCTGGTTCCCACACTACACATTCGGGGTTATTGGAGTCCAACGAGAAGGATAGTCGACGGTCTTCCCACTCGTCTGCTCGCTCGGTCGGGTCTGACTTCTCAACCTGGTCAGACACGGGTGACCTCGCCGAGCAGTTCGCTGAGGCTGAAGATCCTCTGCAAATTCACCTTCGCGATTCCTCAGATCGACGGCTCTTGCGTCGAAAAGACCGAAGGAAGCAACCCAAACACGTACACTATTTTTCAAACTTGAGCAACGAGCGTTCTGAGGTCGATATTGAAAAGATCAGAATACCAAACCCTCCCCCGCGGCATATTTCGAGAGTTGAACGTGTTCTGGCCGCCATAATGACACCCAGAAATGATGCACACGCCCAGATGCACGGCTTAGTCGGAAAGCCATTACTGTGAGTGTCTCAAAGCCCAATACCGTAGTATTACTACTGACTCGGGGTTTCATGTAGTTATTTCACAAGTGTGTTTGTATCACTGGGTGTCTTTCTTTTTGGCTATGACCAGGGTGTAATGTCTGGCATCATAACGTTCGTGTCTAATCCCTCATAGACCCGCCATAGAGACTAGGAGCAGAATGTGGCTAACAGGTGCAGTGGCTGGTACTTCAAGGATTACTTCAACCAGCCTTCTCCGGCTACAATTGGTACTGTGGTTGCAGTTCTCGAAATCGGTGCATTCATATCCTCTCTCCTTGTGGGACGTGTCGGTGATGTGATCGGTCGTCGAAGAACTATACTCTATGGTTCTATTGTGTTTTTCATTGGCGGTGCTTTTCAAGCATTTGCCACAGGTATTCCCATGATGATGGTCGGTCGTGTCATTGCTGGACTAGGAGTTGGTGCCCTCTCTACCATTGTGCCAGTCTACCAGTCTGAAATCTCGGTTTGTAATCCCCTTTCTTCATCAGCCTTCGGGGATTTTTGTTTGCCTCCATCCCCTTTCCCTTGCTGACTAGGTATGCTGACGAATTTTCAGCCTCCCCACAACCGTGGGAAGCTCGCATGCATCGAATTCACCGGCAATATTGCTGGATATGCGACTAGTGTGTGGGTAGACTATTTCTGTAGCTTTATCGATAGCGACTACTCCTGGCGCCTCCCTCTCCTTTTCCAGTGTATCATGGGTGCCTTGCTGGGGGCTGGCAGTCTGATGATCTGCGAATCACCTAGGTGAGTCGAAATCTCCCCCCACCGTCTACCAGGCTAACTCCCATGGTTCTACTTAGGTGGCTTCTTGACAATGACCACGACGAAGAGGGCATGGTGGTTATCGCAAATCTTTATGGTGAGGGCGATCTTCTCAATGACAAGGCCCGCCAAGAATATCGTGAGATCAAGATGAACGTCCTCGTCCAGCGACAGGAGGGCGAGCGATCCTACTCCGACATGTTCCGCCGGTATCGCAAACGTGTTTTGATTGCCATGTCGGCCCAGGCCCTAGCGCAACTCAACGGGATTAACGTAATCTCATACTATGCACCTCTCGTGTTTGAACAGGTATGAATATCACACGCTGCTATGAATCCAGAGTTTTCCTCCCGTGGCGCCATGCCGTATGCAAACAGATCCAAAACGACTCGGGATTATGCTGACCAATCTTCATTGTAGGCCGGCTGGGCTGGACGGGATGCCATCCTTATGACCGGAATCAATGGCATTTCATATTTGCTATCTACTATACCACCGTGGTATCTCGTGGATCGCTGGGGTCGGCGACCGATCTTACTTTCGGGTGCTATTGCCATGCTCATTTCGCTTTCCCTTATCTCCTACTTTATTTACATTGAGATTCCCGCCACCCCAACCCTGACAGTCATCTTCGTTATGCTCTATAATGCAGCTTTCGGGGCATCTTGGGGCCCCATTCCATGGTTATACCCCCCGGAGATCTTGCCTCTGAGCATTCGCGCCAAAGGTGCAAGCTTGAGCACCGCTTCAAATTGGGCATTCAATTGGCTCGTGGGTGAAGTGACCCCTGTTCTTCAGCAAGTTATCAAGTGGCGGTTATATCTGGTTCATGCATTCTTTTGTGCATGCAGTTTTGTGCTTGGTAGGACCCCTCATCCATGGTCCTCCGCTAGGGACCATCATACTGACTATACCACCACAGTTTATTTTTTGTACCCCGAAACCAGTGGGGTTCGCCTCGAGGATATGAACATTCTTTTTGGCGATGCTTCCACCGCCATGCCAACACCCGCCACCCAAGGCGAACGCGGGTCGCTAATGGGTGCTGGTTCACCCGTCCCATCGCTTGATCTGCGTCGACAGTATGGTCAATTTGGGGCAGAGAGTTCCATCCCTGGCCTAGATATTGACCCGCCAACATCAAGCCACGAAGGAACTAGCAAACGCGGGCGCTCAGATTCTCACCAGGGCAGTGTTCGCGGTGAAGGAATTGGTGGCTGGATCTCAAGCATGGTTAGTCGAAACCGAGGAGCGGGTCCCGACGCTACCAGCAGTCAATATAGACGTTTGGAGCAAGGAGGAGACGAGCAATGACAGGATTACGGATAATTGTGGCCTCGGACTGAATAAAGGAAGAAAGACCAAAGAATTCGTTAGCATATATCTACTTTCCCCATTTACTGTCCTCTGCTCGTACTTACATTTACCCTACATATTCAAATCCCGGGTTTTCTATTGTATGGGGGGGTGGATGGCTTCGCTTTGATGGTATAGATGTATCACTGAGGATTCCTTAGTACATATTACATATGTCTGTTTATTCCTAGGTGATTCTTGGATATGTATAAATATCTAGAAGTAATAACTAGTAGTTATATAAATACCTACTAATAGATTTTGAAACCACCCATGAACGGAGTATATTTATAGGTATGTAGGTCAAAGGTACTACTTTGACGGAATTACAAGGGCCACGTTCTGAAAACGGCCCGCTAAAAGTGGACTTGTTTATCCTCCTTGAGGCCACGGATCTCACTTTCTCCTTTACTCTCTCAGCCCACTCTCTTGCTTCACTTCATTTCTTTTTCTTTTTCTTTTTCCTCTTCTTTGATCTACCGAGTTTATTTCCGGTCTGTCCGTTAAATTTGCTTCTACCACTCATTTGCCCAGTGGAATGGCTATGTTCTCTTAAGCTATCCGTTCTTCTATTATCGGTCTACCTCGGTATTCCTCAGTTTAAATCCCTACTTCTCCAATTTCTGTTGATTTCTATCGGAATACCACAAGGCGCACTATGGCGGGCCTAGACACTGCCGTGAGCACGGGCGCCAAACACGAGTCCGACCTCCGTCGAAGAAATGTCCCTGATACTAGCCAAGTTCATCTGGACTCAAACCGGATGAATGACGAAGATGTGAAGAAAGCTAGACCACAGGTGAGATAGCCTTCTTCGACATCATATACACTCTTCTAACCTCCCATTATCAGTCACCCTCGTTCCTCAATGTGCTAGCTAGCTGGGAGCCGATCATTGCTCCCATCATCTTGACTGCCCTCGCCCTTTTCACTCGCCTGTACCAGATCGGCCGTTCCAACATCGTGACCTGGGACGAGGCCCACTTCGGTAAATTTGGTTCTCACTATCTCAAACGCGAGTTCTACTTCGATGTCCACCCGCCTTTGGGGAAGATGCTAGTTGGCCTGTCCGGCTATCTTGCTGGCTATAATGGGTCCTTTGAATTCAAGTCTGGCGAGAAGTATCCAGAAGATGTGAACTATACCTTTATGCGAGCCTTCAATGCTGCCTTTGGTATAGTTTGCATTCCCCTTGCCTACTACACTGCGCGAGAGTTGAACTTCCGTCGGCCCACTGTATGGTTGATCAGTCTGATGGTACTGTGTGAAAACTCTTATGCGACAATTTCTCGGTTTATACTTCTTGACTCGATGCTGCTCTGCTTTACATTTACTACTACAATGTGCTGGGCAAGATTTCACCGTTTGCAGCATGCTAGCTTTTCGCTGGAATGGTATGCCTGGCTGTGTTTGACTGGCTTGAGCATTGGATGTGTCTGCAGTGTCAAATGGGTCGGTTTCTTCTGCACTGCTCTTGTCGGTCTTTATACTATTGATGATCTGTGGAATAAATTTGGCGACCTGAAGATGCCACGGGTAAGTATTTGCTTCCAGTCTCTGTCCCCCGAAGTCGATCACCGATTAGCTGGCTAATACGGATGTGTTCGAACAGGCCGTGCTCGCAAAACATTTGATTGCTCGTGTTGTGGGATTGATCTTTATCCCAATCTTGGTCTACATGTTTTCTTTCTATCTGCACTTCTTGGTGCTGGCGAACAGTGGTCCAGGCGATGCCCAGATGAGCTCACTTTTCCAGGCCAACCTACACGGTACCGAAGTTGGCAGAGACAGCCCTCTTGAGCTTGCAATTGGGTCACGTATCACACTCAAAAATATGGGCTATGGAGGAGGGCTTCTTCACTCCCACGTTCAAACCTTCCCGGAGGGATCTATGCAGCAGCAGGTCACTTGCTACCACCATAAAGATGCCAACAACGACTGGTTTATTTACCCCAACCGACAGGAGCCAGACTACGATGCTACTGCTGATCTGCGGTTCGTCGGTGATGGCGATGTCATTCGGCTGATTCACGGACAGACGGGTCGCAATCTGCACTCCCACGCTATTCCAGCACCAATTACTAAATCACATCACGAGGTGTCGGCCTACGGAAATATTACCATTGGGGACGAAAAGGACCACTGGAAAGTGGAGGTAGTCGATGATGTTGCATCCCGGGACCGATCTAGGATCCGGACACTCACAACGGCATTCCGCCTCCGCCATCCGGTCCTAGGCTGCTATCTCCGGGCAGGAAATGTAAATCTACCTCAATGGGGCTTCAAGCAGATTGAAACCACGTGTACCAAAGAAAACAAACCCGGCGATGTGTACACCCACTGGAATGTTGAGTCTCACACCAATGACCGTTGTAAGTTGACCATTTTTCTCAAGAACTTGCCATTGATGAGCCCGATCAGATTTATTGACTTATGCACAGTGCCCCCTGGTGACCCTGGCTCCTATAAATCGCCCTTCTTGAAGGACTTCATCCACCTGAATGTGGCTATGATGACCTCCAACAATGCTCTGGTTCCTGATCCTGACAAGCAAGACGACTTGGCTTCCAAGTTTTGGCAATGGCCGATTCTCAATGTCGGCCTGCGTATGTGTTCTTGGGATGACAACGTTGTCAAATACTATCTCCTAGGAAATCCTCTGGTCTATTGGGGAAGCACTGCCGCTCTCGGTGGATTTGGTCTTCTGTTCCTTTGGTACCTTCTGCGCTGGCAGAGGGGGTATAATGATCTCAGCAACGAGGAAATTGGTCACATCCACTACTCTGGCTTGTACCCGGTTATCGGATGGGTCTTGCATTACCTTCCCTTTATCATCATGGCCCGCGTGACTTATGTCCACCATTACTATCCGGCTCTCTACTATGCCATCCTGAACTTCGGCTTCTGCGTTGATTGGGTGACGCGGAAGATGAATCCCAGATTGTCTGCGGCGGTGTATGCCTTCCTCTACGTGATTATTATCGGATTGTTCATTCATTTCCGAGCTATCGTGTTTGGTATGGAGGGTTCTAACCAGCAATGGACTCACCTACGCTGGCTACCCGGATGGAAAATGGCGAATTTGAACTAATCATGGATCGCTTGATGACATGTTCCCGTCCTCTCTGCTTGTTAGCTCGTGTTGACCACCTCAAAACTGGGACCTTATATGCCTACATGGGTACTTGTATTAACACGGATAATTTCACTTTGCTTTCTGTATTTGTTGCAATGTTACTAGAGCTAGTAAACTTCTCATTCCGGCGGTTTCACACTTGGTATCTGGTAAGAATTTAGTTGAATATGAAGATATGTCGGGGCTATGTGTTGCTGGCTATATATTATTACGGACTGTGGGTTTAGCAACACCCCCCAGTCCAACCGTTGCCACCTTTGCGCATAGCATCATCCATTCCCAATGTGACAGTTCTGGGCACTCCCGTGTTTGCTCCTCCTGAGGCCCCGAACCCTTTCACGCCGCTCCGCCGATCATTGAGATCGTATTTGCCCGTTTCAATGTTACGATATATTCTCTCGGCAACTTCCAGGAATGCTCGCTCGACACCATCTCCAGATTTGGCGCTAGTTTCAACATAGCGAACCACGTTGTTCATGCGACACCACTCTTCGGCCTCCTCCTGGGTGACCTGCCTTTGATTTGATCCAGAACTGGCCCCCATCAGATCAGTCTTGTTACCGACCAAGATGACAACAATGCCATCCTCTGCGATATGCCGTAGATCCTGCAGCCACTGTGTGCAAGATACAAAGGTCGAGTGCCTGGATATATCAAAGACTAAGAGAGCGCCAGAGGCGCCCCGGAAATAAGAGCGGGTGATAGACTTGTATGTCTCTTGTCCAGCGGTATCCCACAGTGAGAGTTTCATGCGTTTCTGATTGGGAGAGCCTTGTGGCTTTCGTGGAGGAGTAGGAAGGCCGGAGGTAGTAGATGCTTCTGGAAATGTATCACCCGATGATCCGGGAGAAGGCTCATCAAGTTCTAGCTCTAGTGAAGCTGGAGGACCAACTGGCACAATTCGCGACCCGAACTCGACTCCGATGGTCACATCATGAGATGGGGAAAACCGGCCTTCACAAAGTCGGACGGTGAGCTATTGTTTGGTTAGCGGAGGCCCAAAGTCAAAAGGCCGATATCACTTACGCTGGACTTGCCAGTGCCAGAGTCACCAATGCAGACAAGCTTAGCAATGTAATCCCATGGCTGTGACATGGAGAGTAGTAGAAAAATCTAGAATTAGAGATGAGAAAGAAATAGGTTAGTTTACCTACGATGGTATGTTTGGAGACCTCACCTGTTATCAGCTGAGTCATCTATCAAGCCTGATGCGCCCGTATGACGCTTTCATCACCTGCGTGACCCTATAGCCCTTCACTTTATTCCCAGACAACTCTCTCTCTTTCTCTGTCCCCTAGATTTGACATATCTCAAAACAAATTCACAGTCTTCCCTCTCTCACTCCCCTCCCTATACTCTTTAATATCCGACCGTACTTGATTTCTTTAGTGATTTATCACTGGCCCTGTTTCTTCACCGTACTTCCTTTGTTGTGATAACAGGCCATGTTCTCTGAATGTAGGAGCTGGAAATTATTGAAAATTAGAAGACTATATGGCTAATATTCTCCCCTTAGATGCCTCACGATTCCTTGCTCAGTCACAGTCACGAGTAACCTCTCGACCAGATGAGGTTCAAAGAACGGGTCGTAGCCGCCCTAGTCAACAGCAAGGCAACCCTCGACAGCCCTCATCGCGTTCCTTCTTACGACCTAGCGATCCTTATCGGCCGGGTGCATCCCAAGCATCTCAATTTCCCTTTGCCTCCCGCAGCTCGGTTCAACAAGCTCCGCTTTTCTTCAGTGCCACTGATGAATTCCGAGAGGAAGATGACGAAACAGAACGTGAGCGAGAAATAGCTGATTTTTATGCACTCCAACGAT